GTGGTGAGCCCGATCTTCGATTGGTCGACGATTGGTGTTCCATCCGCCGATGGATCTTCTATTGTTGAAGGTATGTTCGACGATCTATTCCGGGTTTTCTTCTATCGGCTTCTCTTTCCAACAGGGCCTCTGAAGGAGATTTGGATTCGGTCGCCGATGGCCTTCAGTGGTGTGGGAGGTAGTGTGGTTCTTCGAGGCAGGGCTCTGGAAGCTTCGTCGTCTTGAATGGGGCAATCGGAGTTGGGGATCGCTCAGAGCTACCTGCTGGTTCTCTGGTGTTGGGAACTGTAGATGCATAAAATTTGTGGCCAATCAAAGGGCGCAACGTGGAAATTAATTTATTAAAAATCAAGTCATATTTTCTATTTATATTTAGGAATTTCCATATATTTAATTCCTAAATTTAAATTGTTAATTAATTGATATTTTAACATTTTAATTCTTGACCAATCTAATAATGCCAAGTGTCAAATCATTATTCTTGGTAAATAAATCATATCTTCTAGAATATCTTAGAAGATTTAAGTGGATCTTGAAGATTTTATGTGAATCATCGTGGACCAATCAAATCACGTCCTACGATTCTTAAACTTGGTAGGGTGCTCTCTCCTACATCTATAAATAGGGGCTCTCCCTAAAGCCAAAGACATCTCATAATTCATATTCAAGTTCAAGAGCTCTAGAGAATTCTCTCTAAAAGTTTCAAGTGTTCTTGAAGATCCGACGTCGTTCTTGAAGATTCGAAGGAAGATTCAAGCACATTCAAGCTCAAAACTGACATTTAATCCGAAAACAAGCTACCAAGCCTCCGAATTACGTTCGTATTCAAATTCAAGTTCAAGATCTCTCGACGAGATTCAAGTGTTCTTGAAGATTCAAAGGCGTTCTTGAAGATTCAAAGCAAGATTCAAGCACGTTCAACCTCAAGACTAGCGTTCAATCCGGAAACAAGCTGCGAAGCCTCCGAATAACGTTAGTAAATTCAAAACCGGCGTGAAGAAGATTCGAGATTTACTTTGCGGCGAAGACCAAGGATTCGTGTTCTTCGCGTTCTTGGGATATTTTGACGTTTGATCCGGGAAAAAGCTTTCAAGCCCTCGGATTACGTTAATTCAAGTCAAATCAAGTCAAGGTAAAGATCAAGCCGAAGATTTCGCTCCAAGACTTAAAATATTATTTGTGAGAAGAATCAGAGGAATAATAGAGATTGTAACCCGCTATATTATTTTGATTCGAGAAATTCATTTGAATAATATTTTTCGTGTTTTTTTTTTAAGTTCAATACACGAAATTTGTTGTTACAGGAACGTCGGGGTATTCGGATTTCCTAAGCCTGGCTAGTGGTGTTAGGCAGGTGTGGGAGGTGTTGATGTGAGCTGGTATGTGGTCCCTTCGGTTGGAGGTGGGTCGGTTCGGGTCAGGTTCGGTGTCTGGGGTTGGCTTCTGTATAGACGTTTATGCAGTTTCGGGAGTTGTGCCTCGGGCTTGGGATCTATCTTGGATTCGAATGGTTCTCTGCTGGTTTTGATTCGTCTGGTAGGCTGGGGAAGGGCTTTGTGTGTTGTTTAGTTGTTTTGTTGCTGTAGTTGTTTTTTTTTTTTTCTTTTGTGTTGTCTGGTTAGTGTTGGTTGTCTTTCGTATTTTTGGTTTGGTCGTTGGCCCCTGTGAGCCCGAGTGTAACCTTATTATCCTGTTGGGATCCTACACTCAGGCATTATTCTGTTGGGATCTTTGTAGTTGTTTCAGTTGTGTTAGGTTTTGTGTTGCGAGTTTTTTATTCTAGCGTTGGTAGCAGGCTCTAGGCGATTTTCGGATCTGCCTCCCAGTCTTTTTAGTCTTCGGTTGTACTATTCAGCCTTGGGTTGTTTTTTCTTCGCACTTTGTGCGCTTTTATTAATATACTACCTCTATCGTTTTGAAATAAAAAATATTATTAATAAATAAAACTCGCATAATAATTCTCTCTCTATCTGTCTTCTATAACTCATACCTTGTTACAATATATTACTTAGGTTTCTAAATAAGTAGGCTAAAGTTAAAAAATTGTGGCAAATTTTATAACCAATACTTAATTGAAAAAGATTGTAATATATACTATTTTGAAGATAAAAAATTGTAATATATACTATTTTGAAGATAAAAAATATTTATATTTAATTACAACAAATGTTATTTTTATAATTTATAATATTATAAATATTTTAATTTTGTTTATTATCTATTATTTTTTATGAGATTGTTATGATATTGTAAATCAATATGATTTTTTTAAAAATTAATTTGTTGCAATTATTGATAAAATCAAAGGATATTTTTAACTCCTTGAAAAACTGATTTTTGGTATATGGCTCATTACGAAATGAATGGAAAATCGTAAGAATCTTTTATCATTGTTGAGAAATCAACTCTATTCTAGTATTGTGGTAGTTTTATCAATAAATTTTTTACATTTACTTCCTAAATTTATTATTATTTATATTTTATAATGTTCTCAAGCATATTTCGATCTACATATTAATATATGATTTGTTACCGAATGATTAAGTAATCACCGTGATTTTTTATTAATATTGATAAATAAGATTCTATTGTAACATAAAATTTACATAATTTGTTTTCAATTTTTGTTTTGTAATTGTATTTTCTATTTTATCGTGCATATTCAAATAATAATTTATAAAAGAAAAATTTATTTAATAGATGTTTTTTGAGAACATGTTGTATGGTTAGTTGCGAAAATAATAAGAAATTGCAATGATCCGTAATTAATATAAAAAAATCGAAATATTATTGCGATAATTATCACAAAATAATTTTTAAAACTAATACCTGTTTTATTATATTAGAAATTTAGTTATTACTAGCAGGTTTAATTTAATTTTCTTCTTTTAATAAATATTAAAGTAATTTTTACTACATCCTCCCTATATATTATTCCCGAATGCGTTGAGCCTACGTGGCTGCTTCTGGTGTTTCGGAATCCTACTTGGCAAATAATCATGCTTCGTAATTAGGTTTGGACAAATCATATTGATATATTAATAATTAATAATTTAGGTTCGGACATTCCATAAATATTATTTAGCTAACTTAGGTATTTTAATATCACTTTTACTAATATAACCTTTTTATTTCTTTGTAATTTTACATACTTAGACACTAAGTGACTAATATATCCCTGACTTTTGATTTGTTTCCTTCAATTAGCTATTGAATTATAAATGTATTTTAAAAGTTGATAACTTTGTATTTCTTATCGGTTTTACATATATAATATATCAAATTAATCATCTTTTGATGATCTTCGATTTGACATTCATATTGTATATATGAAATAAATAAATTATATTTATCTTTATAATAATAAAAAATAATAATATTTATTACAATTCATTAAAAAAGTAAAATTATTTCTCATTTAATATATTTTTGTTTAATGTAGTTATATGTTGTAAGTTTAAAAAATTATTATAATATAACACATGTAAGTTGCACAAATACAAAGTGACATACTAAATATATAATAATATATATATATTTTTATAAAAGATATTTAAATTTTCAACTACTTTTTCTCATTAATTTTAAATTTTAAGAAAAAATGAGCAAGCACCCGTGTAATACACTGGACTAATATTAAATTATTACACAACTTTTTAAATATAGACAGATAGACAAAAAAAAAAAGAAAAATTGTTTATATATTTAGTCTAGTAAAATATGTTCCACATCGGTTGTTGAGAAGAACGAAGCATGCCATATAAGTGGTTGTGGACACCTCAACCTACCGGACGCGTTTTAGTGAGCTAGCTCCCAAAGGCAAAACTGTGAGGGAATGATCTGGTGTATACCCAAAGCGGACAATATTCTGTAGCGGGTGAACTGGGCTGTTACATATGGTATTAAACTTTTATTTATCTATATAATAATATGAATTTGAGAAATGTGCACGCGCCTTTGAATAAGAAACCAAAATTTGTCATAAGACAGTGCGAAAAGTGTCACACGCGCCTTGACTAACTTGATCACAATCCACGTTTACATTCACCACTCCAAAAAGTCGCTTACCATTTTGGACAAAAAAATTATAGTTTTGAAAACTTTACCAACAAAACTTGCATAGGGGGTGTCTATATGTACACCCCCTCAAGTGTAAAAAAGGGGTGTACATATAGCACTTTTCTTTGTGTAATTTATTAAAAGGGGGTGTACATATAGCATTGCCCCTTGCATATCTAATTGAGTTGCAACTTTGCACGCGCTGAAATATTCACTTTTTTCTCACAAAAAGGCTACATATATTTGAAGTTGGCAGTGGCATTACCGTAATATAGCTCAACTCGTAGCCTCAAAACTTAACCACCCGCATTTATAACCCCGACAACCGTCCCCACCATTCTGCTATCCCCTGACACCCTCACCCGGCCTTTTCTGCCCCCAAACTAACGCACGCACGCAGTAATATATAGTATTTTTATACCTTTATCCCTGCAACAATGGCTTTATTATTCGGGCTTGCCATCTTGTTCTGCTCAGCCGCCTTTTTCCTTCAGTCATGCGTCCTTCCGGCGGCCGCCAATAAACTCTACATCGTACACATGGATACCAACCTCATGCC